GAGGCGAGAACTCTCGTGATTGACTGATTGAACCTCCCTCCCTGCTCCTCCCTCCAGCTCCTTGGAGCCGACGCACTCGCCGAACTTTAAAAACTAGGCTATGGTGTGCGGCGGCGGGCGCGGGTCGGGAAACGGGGGACAGCAAAAAAGAAAGGAGCATGAGAGACAGCAGCGACGACCCTCTAAAGGCCCCTTGACTCCGCTCGAAGCATCCCCCTCACCATCTTGCAATGGAACGCCATCCCGCCACCCCAACGGGAGGAATTGCGAACAGCTGCCGTGAACCACCTGTGGAGGTCGGCCTGAACCAGTGACTTTGCAGCCACAGACTCAGGGGGAAGGGCACGGCTCGTGAACAAACCGTGCAAGCGCACAGGAATTAGTTTAGTTTCTCGTTCTCTGGCCCTCCGACGAAAGAGCGCAGCAGCACGATTAGCAGCAATCCTCTGCAAGATCTCTGGTGGCAAATGTGGGGGAGGGGGAGGAGGAATCGGGGAAACGGAAACATGATATGAAAGGGCATCACGCGCTGTTTTAGATTCAGGCGCAGCAGCTGAGCGGGCGCCCTCAAACTCTTCCAATGCAGAGGGCTCTCCGCCAACCTGGGGTACCAACGGCCTGGAAATACGAGACAACGCCGAAGGCTTGGAGGCATGCGCAGATCTGAACGCAACATCTGGGCCCGCAGCTGGATCTTGTGCAGAAGTAGCAACTGAACTTTGAGCAACAAACTCCTCGAGCTCGTTGATCTCTGCATCGTCGTCCTCACTGGGGTCTAACGAGGGGGCTGGCCAAGTTGTGACGGAAACAAGTGCTCGAGCATAGCAGAGGAGGCTAGTACAGAGCAGTGCCTAGACGGATATGCCTTCATTTGCTTTCTTGGGCGCGCTCCTCCACCGCTTCAGCGCTCAGGGCCCCGTCCAGCTGCGGGGGGATGCCCTCCACGGTCGCGGGAGCAGAGACCGCCCCCTTGGGGTCTCCTTGAGCGTGTCGGGCAGACTGGGGAGCCGAGTCCACGCACGAGTCGGACGCACTGGGCAGACTGAGACGGAGTCTCTGACGCACGAGTAGGCAGCAGACACGCAATGCATAGCTTCTTGGCTGCCGCTGCTCTTTGCGACACTCGAGCTGAGAGGATAGCCATCCGGCGTGCCTCTTCATGCAAACGGATACCGAAGAATGGCAGGGTCTTCAGCCTGAGGGACGAAGTGTACTCCTTGCTTATATGGGAGGCTACCAGGATGTGACGACGGGAGGCAGAGGTGGCATAAACATCCCCCTACCCTTGGGAATATGTGGAAGATCCCCTCCCTTCCATTGCACCAGTTCCGAAAGCAACACTGAACTTTTGACTACCAGGAGGGAAGTTACGTGGGACGATGAACCTGGCACAGGGCTCGTACAAAGGCTCCATTGAGCAGCCGCCGCAGCGCCTGCGTTGCGCAGAGCCCTTTCGAACTCGATGATGGGGGCAGCTTCGATCGAGCGGTCACCTTCAAGTTCTGCGCGTGCCCTGTCCTCGAAAGGGGTGGTAAACAATGCAGGCGAGACGGTGACAGCGAGCTCCTGCGCAGCGAAATGCCCAAGCCAAAGCTTATGCGCTGGCGGGACGGTCGGGGCAAACGAGCCATCTGGGAGGTTCACTGGCGGCAAAACATTTGCGCCGCTTGCGCCGCTTGCCTGAAGTTTCTAACGCTCGTATGGAGGCGAACGCCCTAGTGTAATCTCCAGGTGACCATGCGTCAGAGACACCCTGAGCGATGCGACCGATTTTGTCGGCTGCGTCCATTGCGACAAATCGGTTGACCTTCAGAAAAATTGGCTTGAGTAGCCAAAACTGGAACGGGACGAATTTCACTGCCAACAACCTTGAGCGCCACAGAAACTCACCCCACGAGAACGAGGTACTATTGGACATAGGGGTCACGAGGAAAGAAAAGGCGCAAAAGTCATAATAAACCTGACGAGAGTGATTGTCTTGATGCCTAGCACGGTGACTTCATCCTTTCAAAAGTGCGGCTCTGACTGTTGCGAAAGCAAGCTGAGATTGAGACAACCTTTTCAGCTGTGCTGAAAGGTGCAGATACTCCTCGGGCACAGGGGAGGACGGCAGTACACGACGACCGTGAGGAACCCTTACCTCCCCAACCTTCTTTTCAAGTCCCAAAGATCCTACTTGTAACCCCCCCGCAAGAAGTCTGCACGCTAAGCAGTGAGGAAACAGGGTCCGGATTCCAGGCCCAGGACCAGGTTACGCGTCTCCATCCTGCAGAAAGAATGTTGGCGCTCAAACCGTTGGACACAATTCGAAGTTGCCGAAGGGACCGCCTGGCAAGATGCAAAGCTGAAATCTACTTGACGGCAGCTGCTGGGTGTCCCGACTCCTTGACTGACGGGTCAGCCCGGAAAAACATAACCACGCTTGCTTTGACAAATTTGTCGGTAAGTTCACAGTGCTTGGACGGGGAGGCCTCCCAACCTGGTCTAGGGCACTCCTTCATGAAATCTAAGTCCTGGAGAGACTGGGTGCCCTGAAATGTTGTGCGATCCAGGCTGATCCAGGCGAGGCTCGTCAGTTAAGATTCTTGGAAGCTGCCCGAGCGAGGACACCGCCAGATCAACATGCACTAGCATAGTTTTGGTCCGGCCTCTTGACAGCCAAATCGAAAGATTCGTTGGCGCACGGGCGAGCAACAGCACCCCTCAAAGCAAGAGGCGAAACGATAAAATTCAGCCAGCGAGCGGGGAAGAAACGCTGAGAGTGAGTCCAACTCTTAGCTTTTCGAGGATCGCCGTCCAAAGTGGAAGGAGCGAATCAAGATGTGGACAAGAGAATATTGTGGGAACGATTACCATTATAGTTATCCTTCTCAGGAGTCAACGTACAAATAGCCGACGAAGAGATCCACCCCGCGGCCGCATTGGCGTTTGCCAAAAGGAAAATATGCGGGGTGTACTCTCGGGCCGATGCGAAAGTCTCCGTTAAACGCACTCACCAGCTTTCGATCCCAGTCTTGACGCTCTTAGCATGCGGAGCGTGACCCACGCAAAAAGTGCAAGTGCAATCCCCGATGGCAACATCAACAACTGACAATGCAGGGGAAACCCAAGCGACGCACGGCACGCGTTGGAAATGGATGGAGCAAGAGGAGCGCTGCGCCGAATCCAAACGGGGCCCCCGTGAGTCGCATGATTTGGCCTGGGGCCGTGCAGGACAAGGTAGTCACATGTGTGAGCCCTACCTGCTCCTAGGATGCACGTGACTCTGCCGTGCCTGCAGTCTGCAGTCCCTGTTTTGAGAATCCGGAGGCCAACGCTCTGGGCCGTCCAGACGCAAACAGGCCAATCTTCTTAGGGGGGCCCGTCTTCGCAGCTTTCAGCGAGAGCACGTTAGAGAAGCCAATCCCCAGCTTGATTTGGCACTGCTCAACCGCTTCCTGAAAGATCGGAAGAAGGAAAAGGCAAGTCGTGCCCCTGACCTAGCTGACGCAACCATGGTGCCGACCTCCAAGAATTGCCTCGTGCACCCGTTGCAAAAATAAACCTGCCATCATGGATGGGGGAAAATTTACACTTATTCTAGCAACCACGGTTTTCGAGCCACGCCCAATCGACGACGAGGGAATCAGACAGCCACGCTTTCCACGAGCCATAGCGAGGAGAAGGAACCACATCCAGGCTGGCAAGAAGAGCAAGAGAATCGACTAGCTCATGGGGAGGGTCGCCGTCATGAGACCCGACATGGCAACATGAGAGCTCGCGCTCGGCCTAGTACAGAGAGCCAGGGAGCGCAAAGCAGTAGCGCAACCGTGAACGGATGGAATGCTGGATTCACCCGCCGCCGCCGCCTTTGCAACAAGCAGGCCGTCAATATAGAAGGCACACTTGTGGGCACCGGCTTGATGTTGCCAGGAAGCGGCCAAGTGGTCCAGGTGAGACCGACACTTGCTAACCACAAGCTTCTCGGTTAGGAGGGATGTCATCTAGATGAGCTGTGAGTTTGCCTGCGAGAAGCCCGCCGAAGTACCGTTGCCCATCAGACTCCTCAAAGCAACCGAGAAAGCGCAAGACGGGGGGCTCTTGGAGGATCTGTATACACGGTATGGTGGGATCCCTCGAGAGACTCGTGAGACCATAACGGGACACTTTGCAAGAATAAGACGGAAGAGGGAATGGGAGGGAGGGAGAGGAGAGAGGGAGAGGATGATGAGGAAGAGGAGCACGGGGACTCTTTGCGGATTGGTTTTGTAGCCCGAAGTCCTTTCGGGAAACACGCCCAGGTAGGAGCGCGACTGCCCCACCTGCGGCTCCGAAGCCCCGCGGGTGGCACGGGCCCGCGACTCCTTGTGTTGCGCATCCCTCCTGAGGACGGGCGCCGGAGGAGCACGGAAGAGGAGGAGGAGGAGGAGGAGGAGGAGGAGCACGATGATGATGATGATGATGATGATGATGATGATGATGATGATGATGATGATGATGATGATGATGATGATGATGATGATGATTGAGATGATGATGAT